GCTTGAATGCTAAGCTGGTTAGGCAATCTAGCAGGGCATTCCTAAATGTAGTGAAAAAATGCTCTGGTGGAATGCTAAGCTAGCTAGGCAATCTAGCAGGGCATTACTAAATATGGTGTAAAAATTCTCTGCTGGAATGCTAAGCTAGCTAAGCAATCTAGCAGGGCGTTACTAAATATAGTGTAAAAATGCTTTGCTGGAATGCTAAGCTGCTAGGCAATATAGCAGAGCATTACGAAATAAAGTGTAAAAATGCTTTGCTGGAATGCTAAGTTGACAAGGCAATCAAGCAGGGCATTACTAAATAGAGTGTTAAAATGCTCTACAGGAATGCTTAGCTGGCTAGGCACTATAGCAGAGCATTACGAAATATAGTGAAAAATGCTCTGGTGGAATGCTAAGCTGGCTATGCTCTGGTGGAATGCTAAGCTGGCTAGGCAATCTAGCAGGGCATTCCTAAATACATGTATATTGAAGAAATGCTCTGGTGGAATGCTAGGCTGGCTAAGCAATCTAGCAGGGCATTCCTTAATTAAGTGTAAAATTGCTCTGCTGCAATACTCAGCTGTCTTGGCAATCTAGCAGAGCATTACTAAATATAGTGTAAAAATGCTCTGTTGAAATGCTAAGGTGGCTAGGCAACCTAGCAGAACATTCTGAAAAAAAGTGTGAAAATGCTGTGTTGGATAAGCAATTTTGCGGTGCATTCTGAATTATAGTATTAATATGCTCTGCTGGAATGCTAAGCTGGCAGACTGGTTCTGAGTTCCAGGATTAATTGTTGCCAACGTTTATTGACATTTTCGACTTCTAGGCAATTATGAGGCACTCGCAGACTTTCAGGAATTTTTAGAAATAATGATATTTTTGACTTCAAAGGACCTTTAAGAGACTATTTCATTGTCCTGCGATTTTTTGAAGGACACTCTCGAACTTTCGGGAATTTTGGTGCCAATGCTGATATTGACAATTTAGACTTCTAGGGACCCTTAAGCGTCCATTTTGTTCGTCTCCGACTGATTCTCGGACACTCGCAGACTTTCAGGAATGGTTGGTGCCAATGGAAATAATCATATTTTTGACTTCTAGGGACCTTTAAGAGTCCATTTCATTGGCCTGCAGCGTATTATTGGACACTCGCAGACTTTCAGGAAAGTTTGGTGCTAATAGAGGTGTTGGCTATTTTTTTTTTACTTCTAGGGACCCGCCAGAGTCCATTTTTATGGTCTGCGACTGATTCTGAGACATTCGCAGACTTTAAGGATCTGTGGTGCCAATGGAGATAATGACATTTTTGACTTCTAGCGACCCACCACAGTTCATTTCGCTGGTCTGCGACTGATTTTGGGACACTTGCAGACTTTCAGGAATTTTGATGCCAATGGAGATAATGACATTTCTGACTTTTAGGGAACCGCCAGAGTACATTTCTTGGGTCTGCGACTGATTCTTTGAGACTCGCAGACTTTCAGGATGTTTAGTGCCATTGAAGATCATGACATTTTTGTCCTTTTAAGGACCCCTTAGTCATAAGCAGAGCATTTTCACTCTAATATGTCATTATCTGCATAAGCACAAAAAATTCCTGAAAGTCCCCAATAATCAGTCGCAGACCAACGAAATAGACTCTGGATGGTCAAAAGTGTCAAAATTGTAATTATCTCTATTGGCACCAAAAATTCCTGAAAGACTGTGACTGTCCAAGAATAAGTCGCAGACCAAAAAATAATGGACCCTGGATGGACGGACTAGAAGTAAAAAATGTCATTATCTGCCTTGACATAAAAAATTCCTGAAAGTCTGTGAGTGCCTCAGAATCAGTCGCAGACCAAAAAATGGATTCAGGAAGGTCCCAATTAGTCAGAAATATCATTTTCTGCATTGACACCAAAATTCCTGAAAGTCTGCGAGTGAATCATTATCAGTCGCAGACCAACGAAATAGACTCAGGAGGGTCCTTTTGAAGTAAAAATGTCATTATCTCCATTGGCACCGAAATTTTTTGAAAGTCTGCGAGTGTTCCAGAAACATTCGCAGACCAACGAAATGGACTCTGGATGGTCCTAAAAATTCACAAATGTCATTATCTACATTAACACCAAAAATTCCTGAAAGTCTGCAATCGTTCCAGAATCAGTCGGAAACCAAAGAAATAGACACTTGAGGGTCCCGTAGAAGTCAAAAATATCATCATCTGAATTGGCAATAAATATTTCAGAAAGTCTACGAGTGCCAAATAATCAGTTGCAGACCAACGAAATTTAAACTTTATTTAAGAATGCCCTGCTAGATTGCCTAGACAGCTCAGCATTCCGGCAGAACATTTTTACACAAATTTTCAGAATGCTTTGCTGGATTGCCTAGCCAGCTGAGCATTTTAACACTATATTTAGGAATGCCCTGCTAGATTGCTTAACCAGCTGAGCATACCAGCAGAGCATTTTTCGCACTATATTTTGGAACGCTCTGCTAGATTTCTTAGCCAGCTGAGCTTGCCAGCAGAGCATATTTACACTATATTTAGGAATGCTCTGCTGGATAGCCTAGCCGGCTGAGCATTATTAACACTATATTTAGGAATGGCCTTCTAGATTGCCTAGCCAGCTGAGCAATTCAGTAGAGCATTTTTACACTATATTTTGGAATGTCCCGCTAGATTGCTTAGCCAGCTGAGCATAACAGCTAAGCATTTTTACACTATATTTAGGAATGGCATGCAAGATTGCCTTGCCAGCAGATCATGTTTACACTATATTTTGGAATGCCCCGCTTGATCGCTTAGCCAGCTGAACATAACAGCAGAGCATTTTTTACATTATATTTTGGAATGCCCCGCTAGATTGCTTAGCCACCTGAGCATAACAGCAGAGCATTTTTACACTTTATTTTGGAATGCTCCGCTAGATTGTTTAGCCATCTGAGCATAACAGCAGAGCATTTTTACACTGTATTTTGGAATGCCCGGCTAGATTGCTTAGCCAGCTGAGCATAGCAGCAGAGCATTTTTTTGCACTATATTTTGGAATGCCCCGCTAGATTGCTTAGCCAGCTGAGCATAGCAGCAGAGCATTTTTTGCACTATATTTTGGAATGCCCCGCTAAATTGCTTAGCCAGCAGAGCATAGCAGCAGAGCATTTTTTGCACTATATTTTGGAATGTCCCGCTAGATTGCTTTGCCAGCTGAGCATACCAGCAGAGCATTTTTACGCTATATTTTGGAACGTCCCGCTAGATTGCCTAGCCAGCTGAGCATTCCAGCGGAGCATTTTTACACTATATTTAAGAATGGCCTGCTAGATTGCTTAGCCAGCTGAGCATACCAGCAAAGCATTTCTTCACTTAATTTTGGAATGCTCTGCTAGATTGCTTACCCAGCTGAGCATAACAGCAGATCATTGATTTCCCTATATAAATCGTAATGCCTTTTTGCTTAGCTCACTGTTAACTGCTAACTTCTCACATACAGGCTGAACTCGCTAACTTGGAAACGCCGCCACAACTACATTTCAAACACAAGTATAGCAACTTTACGATTTCTGGAAACTATAATCAAATCTACATCGCATATTGTTTTCAGAATTTCGATATTTGGTGTAGAATTTACAAAATATATAACACTTGATTTTAGCGACATGCACTAGCTCGGAAGTAGCGATAGAGCGATTTACAGTATACCTCCGCAAGCGGTAGCTCTATCATTTACTAGGGGTGATTACGGCGCACATCGTGTAGCTTAGCAGCTTATCTACCATCGCAAAATTATCATTTCAGAACAGCTTTATATACTGTCACAAACTGCATTACACATTGGAACTGACTCAACATTTTGTATATATAGTTTTTTTTTCTCTCTGTTTAACATATCTCACAAATCAACAATTACATTTTACTGTCTTCTTAACTGATTGGGACCAGAGAGCTATATATCTATTTCCGAAAATCAACTGGATCCGCATGATCTTGTAGATCCGTAAGATACAATGAATTTAGACAGATAAAGTATTATATAAAGGGAAATAATTAAATTCAATACAGTTGATCTTTCCCGTTCGTGGGATCAGATAAAGATACAAATGCGCATGTAAATAGTTATTGGGGAGCGCCATCAGACCTCTCAACAGTGTTGGCGGCATCCATTTTTGCGTATCTGATTGTAGTGAATGAATCTCTTTTAAAGCGTTAACTCATTAGGAGCAGTCTACAAAAATGGTTTTGCGCATGCTCTGTTTCAAAGTACGACTTAACTTAAACAAAAAATTAACATCGAAGTGAACAAATCGGTACATAGAAAAATCGGAAAATATCATTTACGTCACTAAGCGCTACGCGGATGTTTGATTCCGCTTTAATCTTTTAAAATGTATAAATCGATTACCGTATTGTTTTCTGAATAGCGTTTCAATATTTCATGTTCCGATAAATAGTAACAGTGAACATTTTAGATACAACTTATATGACCGAGTGAACAGTGTACCGAAAGTTTACTGCCTCTTAAACGTTTGAACCGATATGACTAAATAACGCAATATATATATATTTATTCTAAATTAAATTCTCTTTGTAGAAAAAAAACTATCCCTAATGCGCCAAGAAAATACCGCATACAATTAGACTGACGGAAACGGCCGAAAAGTTGCGATTGATTGTTTTACGTCATACAGCGTAAATGTATTGACGTGAAAGGATGTCTTTCTTTTCAGAACTTAATAGTAAGATATTGAATCCACAATTTCCTCAAAATAGATAACAAACTATTAAAATAAAAAAAAAATGTTTTCATTCAATGTTGTTATATAACTATCTCACAAAGTTTATCAATCTCTGACGTTTCGAGGAGTTGAACCTTTCTCAAGGAAATATATTCTGAATGTGTTGTGGTATAATAATGCAAAGTTTGAGTTAAAATGTGTAGAATATAATAACAAAGCAATTGAACAATAAACCGAGTGAGTGGTACCTATATGTAATAGTTAATTTTAATGTTTTGTCTGTTTTTCAGGATTTGTGGTATTGTTGCTTGTCGTTCAACAAAGCAAAGTAGAATGTGTAAGTGATTCCTATGATTTCTAAATGGACTAGAAATTCGATAACATCAAATACATTATGTTTGTCGTAAAACGGCCATCCTGACATAAATTTGCTTGCTGTAACCACTTATTCAACTTTGATCTGCTGAAATTCTAAGTCGACACTTTTTTCTAGGTTATTGTCTTCGTTCACCTGTCCTTCGTCTGACCTCCCGGCCATCTGCCCAGCCTTTCGATATCAGCTTGAAACTAACAAGAATGATAACTTTTACTCCAATAATTTACTTACTGATTCTTACTCTATTCGAGTAAACGTATTTTGAGATTTATAATTTAACAACTTTATTATGATATATAGAATTGTAATTATATTAACTTGAAGCTGGTTATAAGTTCGTCCATTTCCTTTATATATAGATATGATAATTTGAAAGTCAAAATAAATATGCTTTTACATCTACGAGTAGTATTTCATATAAGCATATGCATTTTTTTCTCAGAATTTGAGTGAAGCTTCGAAAATGTTATTTTTGACTATAAATGTCATTTTGAACAAATGTTTAAAACAATTTAATATCACAAAAAAAGTTAATATTTGTTTCTCCTTAACTCATCATACAATTCAGACTAGATGCAAAAAAAATCGTTCAATAAGGGTAGAAACCCAATAAAGAAACTTGTCTGAAATTATTTATACTTATGTCACTATATGATCTCCACATTGGAAGCATTTATACACTAGGTGTATTATTCTGAGGCCCACTAGGAAATGATATATGCCAAATAAAAAGGTATAGTATTTTTCCATAAATGATAAGGTGTGTTTCTTACAATTTAGTCATTTTAGGAAAGTGACTCCCGGGCCAGAGACAAACTTGACCATGCTTAATATACCTATTTCTAGATCTTTACAAATTGAAATTTAAGTTCGGGGCTTTCCAGTTTCACACAATAACGCCTTAATGTCTTTTATAATCTAGTGACCACGGTACTGGCAAATTTTGACCCAAAGGACATGATTTTATATAAATTTTGTAGACATTTACAAGGTAATGTTACATGTTCAATATCTTATCTATCTTAGTTCTTGGCATTGAAGTTTCACAAAATAAGACTAAAATGTGTATAGCAAGTAAGTGATCCCAAGTGCGGGGCCTGCCTTGATCTAAGGGACATGATTGATACCAGTTTTGTAGAGGCTAACAAGCAAATACATGTCAAATATCTAAGCTTTAGGCATAGTAGTTACACCGAAATAATAGTTAAATGTGTTTTCTTACACAAAATTATGTAAGTTAAGTGATCCTCATGGCAGGGCCAATATTGACCCATGGGGCACGATTAATACCAGTTATTTTTGGTTACGAATGTGATGTTACATGCCAAATATCTTAACTCGAAGTTTCATACAATAAGTCTCAGATTTCCTATATAACTCTGTATAAATCAAGTGACCCCATGGGCGTGATTCATATCAGTTTTGTAAAGGTCAAAAGGCAATGCTAGATGCTAAATATCTAATCTCAGGACATTGTAGCACAAAAGAAATCTAAAATAAGTTTACCTATATGAGTATATCAAGGAATCCTCGAGGCGGGGCCGAAGCCCGAATATGTGTTCTGCATACCGTCTAATTACAGGAAATATTTCTGTCAAAAATTTTAATTTCTTTTTATCTATTCAAAAGATACAGAGCAAACACGAAATTTGAAACTGATGCAAAATGACTAAGTTTGATCTTGACCTGAGAGGCTCTACGCATCGTCTGATTATGGTTAACATTTCTGCCAATAGTTTCAATTTCCTTCCATCGGTTCAAAACGTACAGCCCGGGGATGAAAGATGCTTACAAACTAAGGACGGACGAACAGGTGCATAACATTATACGCCGAATTTTTTTCGCGCGTATAAAAGTGGAAAAAGAGAAGAACAGTGCAAAAGAACGATAACTCTACGCGTTATTGTTTTTTTGTTATTTTTCATGTGAATTTATTGTTGGGGAATTAGCTAAAAAGTAAAAGATATATGCTAGAATGCAAGTTCCTTACAACAGACATGTGAACAGACTAGCCGATAAAGGATGGAAGCTTAAGTTTAAACGCTTGCAATTGTGTTGACAATATGAAAAGAACAACTTTATTAAAAGCAGATAAAAACAAGAGCCCGGTTTGAGCCGGGTGATGCTCCCCGAATAGGTTTTGGACACAGGCAAGTACACCTCTTGTAGTTTCAGAGTTATGTCCCTGGAAAAAGTTCAAAGTGCAATAATTCCAAAATTAGGATAAGCAGAGTTACTGTTCTTTCCACTGCACTTCTAATCACTGTTATCTATCAACTTACAAAGTTTCTTGTTGATATCTCTTATGGTTTCCGAGTTATGTTCCGGACAACTTCAAAAAGTAAAAATAAACAAATGGCAATAACTCCAGAATTAGGCAATGCAGAGTTATGATTCTTGTGCACTGCACATCTACCCATTGAGATACATCTACCTACAAAGTTTCATGTTGATATATCTTATAGTTTTACAGCTATGTCCAGTACAAGATTTTTCTAAAAGGGGAGATAATTCAAAAATAAGGCTTAACAGAGTTATGTTTTTTTTTTGCATTGCACTTCTACTCAATGAGATATATCTACCTACAATGTTTCATCTTGATATCTCTTATAATTTTAGAGTTATGTTCCGGACAAAGTTCAGTGTTAAAATTAACAAAGGGCAATAACTCCAAAATTAGGAAAAAAAGAGTTATTGTTCCTATGCATTGCAATTCTACCAATTGAGATCTGTTCACCTACAAAGTTTCATGTTGATATCTCTTATAGTTTTAGAGTTATGCCCCGGACAAGATTTTTCTATAAGGGGAGATAATTAAAAAATGAGGCTAAACAGAGTTATGGTTCTTTTGCACTGCACTTCTACTTAATGAGATCTATCTACCTACAATGTTTCATCTTGATATCTCTTATAGTTTTCGAGTTATATTTCGGACAAAGTTCTAAGTGTTGAAACTAACAAAGGGCAATAACTCCTAAATTAGGACAAAAAGAGTTATTGTTCTTATGCACTGTACATCTACCCATTGAGATCTATTCACCAACAAAGTTTAATGTTGATATCTCTTATAGTTTTAGAGTTATGCCCGTACAAGATTTTTCTATAATTCGAGATAATTCAAAAACCGGGCAAAATAGAGTTATGCTTCTTCGACGCTTCACTCCCCCTCAATGCCCTCTACCACTGTATGAAGTTTAAACAAATTATCTCCAAGGGTTTTCAAATTATGGTCCGGACAAAAAAACGGACGGACAGACGGACAGACGGACGGACGGACAGACGGATGGACGGACAAGGTGCCGACTATATGCTCCCCCGAAATTTTTCGGGGAGCATAAAAAGAACTTTGTGAGTTTGTGCTTATATTACAAACCAAAGGATATTTAAACAAATACGGGAGATAACTTATTATAAAACGTTAACGAAGTTTTACACAACGTAGAAAATCATGTCAAAAATGTTTTTAAATACTATGGAAGACAAAAAAACCTCCCCAGCCTCACCTCTACAAACCCAGCACCACAATATTCACCAATAATGGCAAAAATAACGAAAAAAGTCCTGAAGAAATTGAACTAAAGGAAACCCCATATTTTGTGACGCTTTTAGGTTACATATCTTTTAAGCAAGTTATTTATTGAAACATTATCCCAATTTTATATAGGCTTTGTTGACGCATATATACATACATTTAATAACTATGAATTGGATTAATAATATTTTACTGATAATTACCAAACCTTTAAAAAGTAGTAACACAGTAAACACTTAAATAGAAATGGCCGTTTTACCATTTATTTTAGACAGTAAATCATATGTTTAGATTAATAGAATAATAAAGTCCAATTTTGGATAAACATACCTTTTATATATATCTATTTAAAATTTTGCATACAGGTGACCTTTAAGGCATACACCTGTCCTATGTTGTCAATTTTACAGTTCATTATAGTGCTCTTTATGGTTGTAATATAATTAGTAACTCTGATAAAAGCGAGATGTGATTAAATAAAATATCCAAAAAGAGTATGACCTACTGAATATTGTCGTGGACCACATTGTCCAAGTTTGGGTTAGCCTGACCCAATATGGGACCAGTTTCACTTGAAGCAAGATCAACTATATACCGGGTTGACTGATATTCTTATCATCAAGAAATATTTTAAAATTATGCAGCTTGGTAAAAAACAACAACCAATGTGACCTTATAATTGATTATTGCTTTAAATACTGTGACCTTTTTTTAAGCAATGTATCTCAGGTGAGGGATCCTGGGTCGCTATGGTCCTCTTGTTATAAATTGTCACTTTTACGGCTGGGGATATATCATTATGTGACTGCATTTTTGTCTCTGACGATTCCTGAAGTTTAAGAATCAAAGGTAATGTTCGAGAGTATAAAAATGACAAGAAACGTTTTATGGATATATTTATTCCTTTGTCAAAAATAATAAATATCATAGACGTAAAAATATCATTTTACAGAAACACTTAATATTTCCTGTAGTTTAATAATTGAAATCATTTTATATTTTAAGGTGACCTATATAGATACTTTTCATATTTTGATATTTTTTAAAACTAATTTATTCGCAGACTGACGGCAACAGTACAAATGATTTGGACACGAAGCAAACTAAAGGAAACAATGCGGAAGCTAGTAAAGGTAGCAACTGAAGTTGTAGTGTTGTTGTTGTGATCGTTCTCTATGGTCATCGTCGATGTTATAGCTTAACAAGTTTTCCTTTTTAAAAAAATCAGGTAAAATTGACATTTGATTTGGTAAGACGCCTGTGTTTTAATCTATTTTTATTTTCTTTTTATTTTCTCAGATACGTACGAAGTGTTTATCCAGGTGCATCTCGACCTTACAGTGATTACAACATTTAAATCGGATATTTTCATAGAAGAGTTAGAAAATTTCTTATCTGAACAACATGGCATACCGAAAAAATACATTTTTAAAGTTATTATGGACATTAATTATGGTACGTAATTCATAGATATAGAGGATATTTGTTTGTTTGTGTGTAAGATGAAATTTTATTTCATTGAGTGGGCTTTAAAAACAGTATTCTCACGAGTGGCGTAGCCACGAGTGAGAATACTGTTTTTAAAGTTCACGAGATGAAATAAAATTAAATCTTACACAACAAACAAACAAATTTTCTTTTTATTTTATGCTAAAAAACAAGTTAAAACGAAATTTCCATAATATTAACGTAATTATTAAAATCTGTTTTCCCCATTGAGAGCCCCATTTAGTCGGAATTTCTCATTAAAAACAAGAAGTCTTGAGCTGTAAAATAAGTCCGACAATCAACGTTTAATGACAGTGATATTATTTATTTTGTTAAAAAAATATGAATGATCGCTTGTTTTAAAAATAAAAACAAACAATTCTTGTAGGAGAAAAATTCCAACAATCCATCCATATTTCTGTTACTTACTGCGTATTTATATTAGACCTGGCTTTGTTAAATGTAAGCGGCAGCCATTTTTTAAAGTTGTGTATTTCACGGGAGGAAAATAATTGTGTTTGATTCAGAGGGATATCATTTGGATTTGTTAGTCATACACCTTTTTAAAAGAAAGAAAACATATTTGAGGATTGAAACAGACAAAAAATAAGTGTTGACAGATGTGAAAACATGAAAAAAGGCAGCTATGAAAATGGAAAACTTGGAACTTGCTCGGAACGCTGGGTGGTTTAATTGTTCTACGAGGTGATAGCTGTCATTGCTTTTCAATTTTTCATAAAGCATACGGCAGTTATTGCTCGTAGGATACTTTAATGTGCCCAAATGTCATCAAGAGCAGTTTGCATGTGGAAGGAATGTATTTGTCAGACTGTAAAAATGAAACAAAAAATTTAGAGATGAAATTTGGTGATTGGAATTTGAATGAATAGAAGTAAGTTTTCTTCTTTTTATTACTTTTGACATTTAAGTTGATTATCAATTTCAGCTTTGCGTTTTCTTTAAACAGCCTGACATTGTCAGAATTGTTAACAAAAACTAAATTGAGGTACCACATGGGAAAAATCTAAAAAAAGTAGTTTCGTCATTGAAAACTGTGAAATTATATTTTGATAATTTTCACTGTGAAATTATATTTTGATAATTTTCACTGTGAAATTATCAAATATAATTTTCACGGATAAATCAGTAATCCACTGAAAAGCATAAAATAATAAGTATTCTTTTCTCTTTAAAATGATTTTATTAAAGATTTTGTGTAAAATTTAATATATAACGCCATCAATATTTCAAACTTTGTAGTACTGCACGACAACTCCAAGCATTCACATACATTTTGTCTACATGTGTTTAGTTTCTTTGCTCAGGAGACCGAATAATCAGTACTGTGTATTATTATCATTATTGTGTCCGAGGCCCTTATGATAGGGCTGAAAAATTCCGGTTTGAAAGTTATGAATTGTGTATTCGCGCGCTCTGGTAAATAACTTAGTTCGAAGAGGAGTGATACAGGTACCTGCATGTTTTCGAAAATCAGATTGCCGAATGTTTTGATGTTTTTTCTCAGAGGCAAAATTAAAAAACGTTGCCTGTTGTCACAATATTAAACACCAGAAAAAAGTAACCAAAGAACGGTCATCTGAATGGAACATTTTTATCGTTATCTCTTTCTCTGTCGTTACAAAAATTAAACCCCAGAAAAAATGAGCCAATCAATGGGCATGCCCCGGAGTGCGGGTATCTAATACCTGGACTTCAGTTGAGAACAATGCATGTATATGTAAACGATTTAACTGAGACACATTTTCAACAGATGGATACAAAAGGTTTATAATTGCACGGGATGCAGTCCGAATGCCATTTCCTCTGAAGGATGTCAATTTCATGTTACTCACAATTGTACTGCGCTGTTTATTTAGAAAATAGATTTAAATTTAGAGTGCAGAATAATGTACGGTCCAAGTTCAAATGCTTAGAGGGTATTTTTTCGTTTGAGTAAAATATGGAATATATTTTCATTAAACATGATAAAATGCTATTTTTTTCACTTTCGCCTTAATTTCTCAGATTTTGAAGTTCTGTTTAACCAAGTTTTCCCCACAAATTATTTTAAACTGCTGTTGAGTTATAAAATGTGTCCAAAATAACGAGACAACCAATAACGATTCGTGCAAATGAAAATATCGAAAAATACATAAAAAGCTAATTTATCCGGTACGCTCTGTAACACCGCACTTTGGGGTCAAACGCACTTTGGGGTCCGACCCCAAAATGCGTTAAACTTCGCACCACACTTTGGGGTCAAACGCACTTTGGGGTCAAAATCGAGAAATTGACCCCAAAGTGCGTTAATATGCTCCATATCAACGCACTTTGTGTTCCAGAGGTCTAAAGGTGTAATCTGAGTTCTGCTTAAATACTGAATACTGACTTATTTTCGATCTGTGAGATTGAAATATTCAAGATGGCGGTCAATACTTTGATGATGCTTGAGTGATTAAAGTTTCATAAATTTTACCACTTGAAATATCCAACAATTGTGTTCATATAACAAAATTACAGTTGCATAAAAGTGACATTTGCATTTTTTTATTTAAGTTTTGCAGACATTTTTTTTTCAGTTCTGCATTCATATTTTTTTTTCTTTTTTTTTTAATTTTGCATTCATATTTTATTGTAGTTTTTCGAACATATTTTATTTTTTGTTTTTCACATCTCAGAACAGCCCACAGTTGAGTATAAAACTAGCACAGTGGTTTGGTCACATTTCGGCCCATTTTTGAAATCGGCTCAGACGTTTTTGGCCGCGCAAGTCTGGTTTCGGCCGACCTTTTCGGCCCATTTTATAAATCATTTTATGTATTTTATATGTATTTGATATAGCTATTGTTTTTTATTATTATATACTTTTATGTGTCTATTTGGAAAGGGCTGTTGACTGGTGATTATTATTGTGAGTTATTATTCCATGAATATGCACCACTCAACCCCACCCCCTGAAAATAGCGTGGGGGATTGTCTTTAAACTAAGCCGGCCACTGGTAAAATCTTTGCCCTGCGGGGGATATTCAGATAATAACATTCCTGCCTTATACCCCGGAACAGTGCAGAGATCAAAACACGATTCTTTTTTAACCTGTACTCCCCCGGGGGCAAGGGAGGTGGTTACAAATGACTGGTGTATAACAAAAATGCACAATATATATATACTAAAAAGTGTTGTTATCTTTTTTGATACCTCCAAAAATTGTAATTTACCGATGGCGAAGTTTTTGAAAATGGTGTTTATTCAAACCTCTACTTTGCGAATGGCGTCATGTTAAAATATGTACGAAAAAAAGTAAAACAAAATATGTACAAAAAACTAAAATAAAATATGTATGCAAAACTAAAATAAAATATGTATGCAAAACTAAAAAAGAATATGTATGCAAAACTTAAAAAGAATATGTATGCAAAATTAAAAAAAATGTAGATATGTATTCAAAACTAAAATAATGTACGACAAACAAACAAATTAAAAATATTTACGAAAAAAAAATATCAAAAACAAGAAAAAAGTCGCAAATGTCACTTTTATGCCACTGATGCTGCGAAAATATCCCGTTCTGTCAGTCATTTACTTGATAACTTTTGGTGCCATGTTGAGCCCCATTTTAAATATGTTGGGAATGAAATAAAATGCAGTTAATATTTTTTTCCTAAGCACTATAAATATACTCTATTGCAATGTTCTGGTGAAACATCAAGTTTTTCGATCGGACTATTAATAGTGATTTTTATAAATACATTATTTAGCTTGTCACAGTTTTGTAAGCTCCGTAACAACCGTTCGCCAGAGGTTTTTTTAATGGGAATTCTTACATTCTTCTTTAGAAAGAGCAAACATGAATTTTATAATGTTAAAATAATGGATTCAGAGAAATGTAAGATGCTTGTTAACTGAATAAAGTAGCGATAAATGTGAAAATTATTTGTCATAAAAGTAGTCAAAACAATGTAGTATTTGAGTTCCATATAAATACTTATTCACTATAACTGTACTCATCATTGTCAAAAAACAACATATGAAAAAGATGGTTCAGGTAATTGGCCAATGTGTATGTTTTTGATAATATAAAAGAACATCAAAATAAAAGAGCTTTTAAGAAAAACAAATAAAAGCATAATGGGCTTTTAAAATGTTATTTTTAACCCTCGATACCCCACACTCCCCTCTATATCCCTAGTGAGAATTTTACCTTATTCTGAAGCTCCGCTCTTAATGTGTGACTACTTAAATAGTTGATATTTTAGTACTGCCTGTACGGACTACTACTTAAAGCCGCATCTACACCTAGTCAAGTTTCTTTTAGCTAAATAAATGGCTATTTTAACATCTTTAGGCAATTTTTTTTACTAAAATGTCTTTCTAAGATTACCCAGAATTTATACCTTTGTCTATGCTAAGACTATCATATTTCTATAAAATGTGTAAATAACAAACGGGGAAAATTATACATTTAGCTAAAAACAATTGAGTTAATGAAAGGTGTACATTCTTTTAAAATAAATGGAAAATTTGAGAAAAAACATATTTAAAGCTTAATAATTGATACAAATTCTTTATTTGGTGATTTATTTAGTGAAAGTTCTTCACTTACTAATGTAAGTGATAAGATAAGTATACAAAATGTATTAAAAAGGTATCCAAGGAAAAATGTTACGAATAATTAGAGATATGTACCAAATTGTAAAATCATGTGTTAAATCATGTTCTAGTTATTCACATTATTTCAATTATGCGAATGACCTACGCCAAGGGGAGGTAATTTCTCCAATTTTATTTTCTCTCTTGTTGAGGATTTGGGACTCTATTTACAAGACACCATTGAAACTGGTTTGACCGTAGATGATGTTAATTTGATTTTATTATTATTTGCTGATGATATGGCCATCGTGGGCAAGTCACCAATACAGAACTTCAAAATAATTTAGATCTTTTATATTCATATTGTAATACTTGGGAC